ATTATAGTGGAAAATGGGATAAAATCATGACAAAAACAATTAGTTTCGCTTTCAGTGCATTACAATAAAAGTTTTTTAACTGAAAACGATTCGAAAAACACGTGTACCGTCTAGCTGATACGGCAGAGCCCTGGTCGCGGAGGCTTTGGTTTTGCATCGGCCCTTCTTAAGCAGCTTTTAATTTTAGCGTACATTGAAATTGTGTTTACCGGTGTATTCTTATTTTCTTGCTTCTTATTTTCCAGAAATATGACAAGTTTTTATATAATACAATGTTACGGTACTTTTAATTTACAAGTATTCATTTTTAAAAATACAGAAGACACCAAACAAATACTGGTACGGTTATTTGCGTGACTCTCCCGCCAAAAAAGACCAAACAGCTGGTACTCTCTCCCTCAGCCCTACCAAAAATAGCCCAACATCTTTCTTGTTTATTCTCTTACAATTTCTCACTTTAAATGGTATTTTTTACTTCATATTGCCTACATCAGATAAACTACAGTAATTGAGGTTAGATAGTTATAAATTTGATTACCGGGTCCTGGCAGGTACCGTTAGAACCACCTGACCCTACCAACAGTGTTGCAAGTCAGACAGCATTTTTTTTTTTTTACATTTTTGGTGTCTCCATTTGTTAATTTTTTTTCTGTGGGGTTTGCACAATAGTATACTGTTTTACCTACAGTATTGTAAAACGATTTGGGAAAAGAAATACTCGGTAACTTAAAATTTTAAAAGGAAAATTTTGAAACTGGCAACTGTGTGTAGATGACCTGACTCACATCATATTGATGTTTCAAATTTAATTAACAAAAATTTATGTATCGATAAATAAACTTTTAAAAATGAATACTTTATGTTTTACATACTCCTGTGCATACCATACCATACCATGCATTTGGCTACTTTGGGCTTGCTATGATGACGCAAGAGATCTGCCCTGGCAACTGTACCGACACTCACAGCAGGCGGTGCGTTGGTGCGTCGTTTCCATTGTTTACTGGTAGTTACTGGTAAATATTTTTCAACCTAACGAAACTATTACCCGTATAGAGGTCGATCCCCAACTTTTTGCCCAAAAATTTGGTCTTAAGAACTCGTGTTATACACGGGTATATACGGTATATCAACGACTAAATAAAAAAAATCTTTAAAAAAAATAAATAAAAGTAAAAAACAACTCATTAAAAATCAGTTTACAGTAGTACTCGGATTTATGATTTACGCAGCCAATTGAACCCACAGGTTACCGCGAAAACCGCGTAAAGTGAACAACAGAACATATGGGATTAATTCTAATAGAGACTGCCCCGACCCCCAAACTCCACTTTTTCCGACACAATACCTATGTTGTAGTAAAAATAACATCTAAATTTTATGATGGTATGCTCACACAATTAATATTTAAGAGAAATACAGTCACCAGGTTAATGTCCATTCAAATAATGGACTTAAATCCCCCCCCCCCTCTTCCCAGCTCACTGGCCCCTACCTCTCTGAGAAATGATTGGGTGAAACACTAGATTTTAACGTTTAGTAATAAATAATACCTCAGACTAAAGTTAGGATAATATAATTGACATTTCTGGATTCCACAGGTCAGGGAATATTTTGAATGTAAACTTCATATATTTTGCACAAAAGATAAAATACTTGCTTTGTGTAAACCAAATTATTACATTAGATCTAAAATTTGTATGTCAAATGCAAAATCCATGATGTTTATATTCAAAATGATCATCATATTGTAAGAATTCTAGCAATGTAAATTATATTCTGGCCGGGTAATTTGTATGAATTTTATGAGCTAAATAAAAAAAAAAATTATACTTCACGCGTATGAGAAGATGCACCACGGAAAGTGAAAGTCCGGTTCTGGCAAGGTACCGCGTAAATGAGAAATCGCGGAAAGTGAAACCATGTAAAGCGGGGTAATACTGTAATTAAAATAAATTTTGGTCAGCAAACAATAAAAATGACAAAACTGTAAATCTCTAAATATCATGTCCAGTAAAACAGTCAAAAGCATTTAGTTCATCTTCAAATCCTGGTTTATTAAGATGTTGCTTTATTACAGGTAGTAATTCACCCAAAAAAGTACTGTAGGGTAATTAAGGCAAAATTTAGCCAAACATCAAAAGTACCACTCAAATTTTCTCCATAGGAAGTTGTATTTAAATTTGGACAATTTGAATTTTGCGAGGTTTTTCAGTCTACAGTAGGTTCTCAAATTTCGTGAGTTTTTAATTCAACGTTTTATATTTGGACAAAAAAAAACTACACAATTTCAAATTTCGACGGCACAAACTCAAATTTCGACGGCTTTGAGCGGCCCGCCAACGTTCAGACGTGCACAATCGTGTAAGAGTAATTTCTCTTTATGTACAAAAGATTCATTATCGTTTATTACTTATTTTCTTTTTGATTGAATTAATGTCAATGTGTGCAAAATGAACAATATTATTCATTAACAATATATACGTAGAATATTAAAACACACGAGGAGACGAGACGGCATTGTTTTCGTTAATGTTTACAAAACCAGTGACTGATTGGTTCTACATATAAAACTGAAGAAAATAAGACCCTGGTTGTAGCTGTAGTAAAATTAATAAAAAAAAAATTCATATGGTTGCTTTAAGTACTGTAATGTTATTTAATGTTAATAAATGGAGCAATGGAAGTAGCTAACCATTAATGGTAAAGAAAAAAATGAGATCGCGTATGTAAGTGCGCACATGTGAAACATATCGTCATTACTCTACATAAGAATATGAAAGCAACACTTATTTACTGTTCATATATATTTTCATTAATGTTTCTGAATTTAAAACAAAAATTCTACCCACCAGTGGTGGTAAAGTTGAAAACATAAGGACAGCCAATGTTGATGTGTGTTTTTACTTGGATGACAAAGTTGCCAAGTCATCAGGTTCAACTCTAGCTGAAGCTGTAGAACATAAGAACTTTTTCTGTATTGTTTTTAGTTTTTATTTAACTTTATCGGTGTTATTTTCGTTGGTTTATTAGGGTGATGCTCTATGACAGGTAGTAATTCGCCCAAAAACTAGGGTAAATAAGGCAAAATTTAGCCAAACATCGACAGTACCAGACTCAAATTAATTTTCTCCATAGGAAGTTGTATTTAAATTTGGAAGATTTTAATTTTGCGAGGTTTTACAGTCTAAATGGGTGTCCAAATATAAGAGCCTACTGTAAATAGGTGTCCAAGTATGAGAGCCTACTGTAAATAGGTGTCCAAGTATGAGAGCCTACTGTAAATAGGTGTCCAAGTATGAGAGCCTACTGTAAATAGGTGTCCAAGTATGAGAGCCTACTGTAAATAGGTGTCCAAGTATGAGAGCCTACGATGAAGTTAGAAACAAACATACCTGCACTTTGAGACCAGCAGACAGCCTTAGCACCTCAATAGATGGCGCCACGCACCACCGCCATTAGTAAACAAAACGCATAGCAGCAAAGGTTTATTCTATTTTTTTTGCAGTATATCAACAATATTAGTTAAACTAATAGTATTGCATAGAGAATACTTGTAATTGTTAAGGCCTGTAATGAAGTAAGTCTTTGTAAGGGGCTGACTTGAAGCTGACCCTAAGAAAACTTTCAACTATCAACCAGCGCCCTGGAAGACGGCTGGTAATTTCTGAAGTATATATTTGCCAAAAGTGTACCGTTTAAAAATACGTATGTGTCCGAGGTGTCTCCGTGAGGTGTGAGTGCATTTAACGGAATTAATCCTTTATCCAGAAACCAGTTCAGACCAAGTCGGTAAATTAAGGAAAACCTCTTCCGCTAATCTAAAGTTCATGGTGTCGGATCTCTGTTAACCAAGAGTATACTGTACAAAGTATAAATTACAAAATAAATGTATAAATAATGACCACACACACACACGGGTTTATATCAAACTACTTCCCAGTCTAACTAAAGTGACTAAGTTCAAGTACTACAGCACAAAATACAACTTCACTAATATCTTTTAAAGGCCTTTACATTTTTCATGAATTCATTTGATCAATAATGTGATACAACCCAGTATCATAACCAATCCTCAGGCTTTGGGCCAAGATTATTTTGTTAATAGGACTTAGTTACTGTACAACTAAGGACCACACTTCATAACCTGGCTAAATGGACCTTTTTAGTCAAAATGGCATCACCTTTATTTATTCTAAGAGAACAAGATCATATAAACCATTGACCTGCTTCTGGTAAGGTTGAGTCTATGGTTCAGCATCTCAGGATACAGCATCTGTAATGAGGCCGAGTTTAGTGTTTGGTCAGAATATAGGGAGACTTGTGTATATTTAGGACTTTTATGGTTTGAAATTTATTAATGACGTGATGAATGTTACCTTGGGAGGATCTTTTCAGTCCTGGGTCATTTGGCTGTCTAGGTAAATGGTGGTCAAAAGACAAAAATAAGGTATTGCAATTAATTTCTTCCAGAAGTTACGACTCACTGTGCACTGCAAACAATCCTGTCCACTAATGATCCAAACACTTAGAAACAACTCAAGAACAGTATGATAAGTACAGAGCATCTAAAGCACCAAAGTAATTTGTGGAGGATGTATTTGAAGACATCTCGATCAGACTTCACTGAACACATTCCTGGCCTTATTAGACTCCTCTGCCAGCACTCCAGTATTATTGTCTGGCAACTATTCCTACAGTTGCTTCCAATTTCATGGCAGCATGTATTAACTGTCCAACTATTAGTGGAAGACACTGCTCAAGATATGGCTCATGTCAAGAATATTATATTCTTTTCACCGAGTGGGCAAGAGCTAGCAACTTGACCAGATCAAGCATCAAACAAACCATTCAAGAACATGAGTGGAGGGGTGTGTTAGGTTTACCAGAGTTTATCCCTGTAGTCAGTAATACAATTAGTAGACCAGTTATGTGCCTGAGGAACAACAAATTCTATTACGCAGACCTTCAACTTGTAGAAGAGCAGAACACAAACCTGGGTTAGAGTGGGCTAGGCATTTCATGCACAGGACAACCAGCATCAGAGGAAGTACATGGAGGAGTCTTCTTACAGCTCATGATTAAAGGGAAACATTTGGCTGAAAATGTTCTGGCTCTTATCAAGACTAATCCATATACAGTACAGTCCAAATAAAACATTGCAAGGGAAAACCTTTGCAACAATGGCAGTTGATTGATTGGGTAAAATAACTGCTGTCGTAGCCTGTGGCCATTTGAAGCCAAAAATGAAATTTAAGTAAATATAAATATTAAAATATAAAATCCTGTACTGTATTTATTTACAATTATAAGGGATCAAGTACATTTATTGCAACTAAGAATATAAGAAGTCCACCATCAGGTGCTGAACTTACCACTGAGAACCTTTGAGATGGAGAAGGAACCATCCTCCTGTCAGCACTTGGTCAGAAAATGTCTCAAGTCCCCATGACGGACACTATCAGGCAGTCATCACAATAGGGCTGTGGTCCTCTGGCCATAAGGAAACTGTGGGTGGGGTGAGTGTACACAACAGATGGGTAACAGCAGCCTCAGTGGCAGGGCATCCAAGGAGGTTTACACAGATAATCATTTTTGTAATCTGGCAATATCTTGGGAACAGATAAATTGTTCCATTGTAGCTGCCAGAGGCAAGGATGGCTGACCTGACAGTGCTGCTTTGGAATAAAAAATATTAAAACTCCCAGCCTTATTGGAAGATTGCTCCAAACCCAACACCAGCATCAGATTTGGAACCCTCTGTTCAAACACACTCCAAGCAAGAAGGACCGTAGACATGAATCATTCAGCTATGAAACAGTCTTAACCAGTGATGAAACAGTCACCATGAGTCTAGAAGACCTCAGGCAGTACATGTATATATTCACCTTCATTTTCCAAGATGGCGGCCAAACTATAGGATTAGTAGACACTCTCGAGCTAAAATCCATCAAAAATGAGTAGATAATAAATTTAAAACCTTAAAAAAGGTCCCCCAAAATTCTGACTGGACCCTTATGTACACAGCTGTTGTAATGTGAATTATTTGTTTTATTTCATCTTTTTGGGTTCTCAAGATTTTAGATTTTAATATAAAAAGAAACATTTACTTATCACCATTTTGTGATTAATCCAGGTATTGATGTAGTGGGAGCCCTGGCTGCCTGTGTTTCTTGCAGGGCACAGTCATCCAGGGGGTCATCTTCTGTAATGGAATATTAACTTAATACCTGTACTGTAGGTCTTATGTTAAATATTTATAGATAACTTTATTTAACTTTAAAATATAAAGACCACATAAGAGACAACAGCCATTCATTTGTAGACCTTAATCTCTTGGTCACACAACATAACCTGTACTGTACACCAACCAAAACATAACATTTACCACACAGACAAGCTCCAGACATACAGCACCTGGTTTACCTTTATCCTCTTCACCATTGATCGGCTCGTTAGCTGCTTGGGCGGTCGGTCACGGCTGTTACTGTTGAGAAGTACTGGCAAGCACCGACACAACTACTGCTACAGTATTAAATGGTACAAATTGTCAACACTACAAATAATAAAACTACAATACTGTATTAAGTAAGGTCAACTTACACATGCTAAGATGGTCCTACAATACACTATACATTGTGGTAAATACATTTAATACAATAATGTACAATGCAGCCTGTATACATACTAAATACAGCAGTTTACTCATCTACAAAATATAACAAAATATAACAATGAATCAGACGACTACAGTACTGTAATCATGCTGGTAATGCACAGTAGCAGGGTGCCTGTTAAACATTCCTGAAACTACAGCAGCACAGTGCACCACTTGACCTGGTAAGAAGCCAACAAACAACTGGATAATTAGTTATATAGCGGAGGGCAAGCGGATCATATTACATCCGCACGGCTCTTACGCACGGTTTAAGACGAGTCGATGCAATACGTATTGTCAGAGTCCGCTCATACATTTAGTAGATGGATCGCACCGGTCACAGTTTCATTTAATTCATCTCGTAAATGTAATTAATTTCACACGGTTTGGTAGACCTGTACGCATCAAGATGGTGTGAACTGAATACAACAGTTCAATGGTGGAGTGACTAAGCTGTTGAATGATTGGAAAGAATAATATTGCAATATGAAAAAAACCGGTAAAAAAGTAAATACAAAAATAAGATTACATGACAACATAATTAAGACCTGTAACATAACCCTAAAAAACATTAATTAAGACTGTAACAAACCTGAAAACAATGAGTAAGACCTGTAACATGGCACCAGAGATAATTAATGGTAAAAAGTTGAAAATATAATTAAAATGACAAACTAAAACAAAACGAGAAAGAAAAACCCAAAAGGAAACAACAACATTAAACCTTTAGAAAATCAAGAGTTAAGTCAACATTATGGTTCATGTTGGTAATCTACGAGGAAACTGCCACCAGGAGTTAGGTCTGGTTTAGTCCACATAGTAAGTACTGTACTTTAATTATAAGTAGACCGCTTTTTATTTTAATTATTTTTAGTTTTCTCTACGAACATAAATCACCTGTAGTGGACAGGGCATGAAGGGTGAGAGAAATTGTGGGGCAAGAGTGAAAAACTGATCATATGACTAAAATGATGTCGGAGTTCTTTGTACGTGAATTAATTAATTACTGTAAATACTACTAAAAAATCTGCAGTCACGGCATGTCGGCTGTTTGTCTACAACCGACCCATTCGGTCCGAGTGTACACAAAAAATGTAAATTACCTGTACTCCATAATGCTTCAACAAAGTAGCTTTAATTGGTACCAGATATTAAAATAAGTACTTTCTGTTTAATATGGCAGGGGGTCTGCCCTCTGGCTAGGAAGTTAGGTAAGATAGGTAGGTTTATTTGGTTGGTTAGGTCAGGTTCTAGTAAATGTTGCCTCTTAAAATACTTACAATAATGTTAAGAACATCTGTGGAAAAAAATGAACAAAATCTTAACTCGTCCTAGTGGCAACAGTGTTCTCATACATTATACCTTCATGTTTAAGCGGCTGACCGGCGATATTTTAAGGTGATCAGCAAAGACGACCTGTTAGGAAAAATAATCACAGGTAATTAAGGATAAAAGGTAAAAACAATAAGCAGTAGCCTCAAATATATTAGGCATGTTTTGGCCACAACTCTGTAAACCACATCTATCATCACTGTTCCAGCCTCTGATGCCTGAACCAATATGGGAAGACCTTATCAGACCTTTCTCATGTATATATCAGACCTGCCACATGTATATATCAGACCTTCCTCATGTATATATCAGACCTTCCTCATGTATATATCAGACCTGCCACATGTATATATCAGACCTTCATGTATATATCAGACCTGCCACATGTAGAGATATAATAATGGTACACATGGCAGTGACGAACCCTCAGTAAAGTACCACAACAAGGAGGTAAAAATCATTGCTTAAGTCAGTCAGTCAGTCAGGGTTAACTAATGCAACATAATAGTAAATATTGGTGAGCTGGAAGTAATAGTCAACAGTTAAAGCGGTGATCCATCAGGGCCACGACTCCTCTTATCACGTCTGAAAAATACGTCTACTGCATTAATGTGACGGACATTAAACAATATTAATCTAAACAAACCTCCAATAAGTATTCCTCGACATAACACTAGCAGTAATATAACCACGGCCTTTTAAACTTACTACGCCATTCATAGCGGACTTTAAACTGTACCAGCCAACATTTAAACTGGTCCATTCCACTCACAAATTTAACTCCCTTAAATTAATTGTATTTATAGTACATGGAATTCTGCTTGTTTATTGTTAGAAAATCATTATTATAAAATGTTGTTATACTTGACTTTATCCTCTGTTATACCGTGTTGACAAGAACTGGCTGTTACACTATTGGCAAGTATTAGGTGTTGGATTACAACTGAATTTACGTAGAAATTATAAACTGGCAAAACGTGTAGATCAAACCTAACTATCTTTAAATATATGGCCACAAATACTATACCTTACGGCAGATGTGGAGAGCAAGGAGTAACGGGATAAAAGACATATTGTAACCTGTGTCACATTATTCTACCCATAGACTTGTGAACTCTTGGAACAATCTGCAAGAGAGTTTTAAACAAGTGACCGATTTTTCCCAATATACTCTATGTCCATAATGTGGGTAAAATTAGCAGTTTCGGCCAATATGCCCTAGTAGTTTAGAAATTAGTTTACCCTGTGTATTTTGGGACGAATTAATCGAATTTGACTCTTATTCCGGGAGGGGGAATACCCGAGTTAGTTATCACCCAGAAGCATGGAAAAAATTTTAAATCCATTTCCTGTTATTTTTCTTTGCCCTCGAGGTTGAAATGGGGTGAGAAATACTCCCAATAAAACCATGTACAGGTTGGAGAGGTTAAAACAGTCGGTGGGGCAGACAACACCCATGTGGTCAGCCCACCACCTCTCCCCCACCTTACATATTTAGTTAAAAAGTTAATGGTGGGCTTCTATTTGACGAAGGGTCGCTAAAGTTCTTAAATTAAGTCACTCTGGAGACTGTAAATGCAATACATAATGGAAAAATAGATCTAACTACTTGGCTGGGTCGTAAACTATCCTTGTAATGGTTAACGACGCTAAGCGGTTGTTACCTCACGAAGCCGTTTACACAACACTAGTAAATCAACCTATTAAACATTATCTACGTATCACTTTATATCCTACAAGTTATTGATTGTAAAATTAATAAATAATTAAACTTTCCCTGGACGTTCACAAACTGTATAACGACACCGCGTCTAATTACACTGTGCCAGCCTCCAATTGACCCACATAAACTCCCCACATCTGGCCAATCAAGAAAGATAATAGATAAAAAATAATAGTAAACGGTTATACTTACCTTACACGAGCCTCAAAGAGTTGTTAAAGTAGTCTTAATTGATGGAAAACCGAAGATTCCCGCAGAGAAAACTTTCGATCCTTTCACTACCACACCCGAGGAGCAACTGACCGGCGTGACTGTTCAGTGTTCAGTCATGTCCCCCCCGACCCCCCACCCCCCACCCTTCAGTCATGTGCCCCCCAACCCACACCCCCTGTCATCTTCGCCAATAAATGGACTATGGACGCGGCCTTTACATCCTAACATGGAGCAGTGAGTCTGATATGAATAATAACACAAGAAGTAGAGGTGGAATTTGAGATTAACTCCTCACCCCCATTAATTCTTCATCCCTCCCACCCCTCTCACCCCTCTCACCCCTCTCGGAACTAGATTTTATTTAGGGCCTTGCTGATAGATGGCGCCGATTCAGGCTTTGGGGAGCTCGGTTCATTCAATAGTTCTCCTACAAGCTTTCCCATCTTTCTTATATATAATCTTGGGTCCAGAGGAGACTGTAATGGCCTCCCACAAAACACAATAAAAACGGCTTAAATTATAAAGAATTAATTTCCTATATCGTAATAATTATTGTAGTTTATTTTATAGTTTATTATCCAGGCGAGTTCAAGTTATATTAACAAGTAAATCCGGATATAGAAGTCAATTATCTTTTAATAGGAAAAAGATAACATTCTCAACAATAATGACAGGATATACAGCATCATAATTGGTTAACGTTGTCTCATTGTGTTGGTGTTGGTGGTGGTGTTGGTGGTGATGTTGGTGGTGTCGACGGAACCCCTACGCTCTGGATTCTACATCACGACGATTCAGTAACAAGAACTTCACTGGTAATATAATCTACTTGACCTTCGCGTTAATGTATCGGCAGGGAAGGGGCGGCTCCTGATGGTGACTAGCATATGTGTGAGTATTATAGTGGTTTGTTAAAATGGCTTGGTTATACCTCGCTAGTTTGTTTCTGAGTTAAATTATTACATGTTACAAGACACTTCCCCACCATCTTTCCCCCCCCACCACCACCACCACCACCTCCCCCAACACACCCCACCACCACCTCCCCCAACACACCCCACCACCACCTTCCCCACCACCACCACCCCCCAACACATCCCCACCACCACCACCACCCCCACACACAACACCACCACCCCCAACACACACCACCACCACCTCCCCACCACCACCACCACCTCCCCAACACACCCCACCACCACCTCCCCACCACACCCCCCAACACACCCCACCACCACCACCTCCACCCACCACCACCACCTAACACACCCACCACCACCTCCACCACCACACTTCCCAACACACCCCAAGACCACCACCTCCCCAACACACCCCACCACCACCACCCCCAACACACCCCACCACCACCACCTCCCAACACACCCACCACCACCACCTCCCCAACACACCCCAAGACCACCACCCCCCAACACACCCCACCACCTCCAACTCACCCCACCACCACCACCTCCCCAACACACCCCAAGACCACCACTCTCCACACACACCCCACCACCTCCCCTAACTCACCCCACCACCACCACCTCCCGCACACCCCACCACCACCTCCCAACACACCCCACCACCACCACCTCAACACGGTGGATACAGGCCGGTGTCTTTAACATCTCCCAACACGGTGGGGATACAGGTTGTCTTTACATCTTTGTTTTTCCAAGATGATGGAGAGTACTATTAAATAGGCTCTTGCATATTGTGTAATCCATCTTGTAATTTCCATTCTATTCTTTTGAGCTTTGTCGCACTTCCAGACTGCGTTTATAAAATTGATCAAACGACGTGACAGACGAGATTCTTTGTGACTCTACGTTTATACCTGGATGTGCTCCATGCCAGCTGTTTACGAAATGAACCTGTCAGTTCCAGGCACTCATATGGTTTTCGTTCACATCCTGATTGTATGACCACTTGCATGAATGATAATCTGTATGTGTACCGTGACGTTCTGTCTCGATGGTTTGCCACCATCCAGCACTCTCATGTATACTTATCCAAATGTTATTTAAATGCTTAATGAACAAGATAGCCTCACACAAATATTCTAAAGGAGTTGTAAATTCATTGTTTATGCAGACACATCTTTTATTTTCAAGGAAATCTCTGTAATTTGTAGATTGCATTACAATACTCTTAGTGTTCTTTCTCAAAGATGGGCTTAGTTATCAATGGGTTGAAAAACTATGAAATGTAAAGGAAGAGGAATTGAATCTTGCTTAAAATGGGAAAATTTGGTAGAGAAAGTGTCACATAAATATTTAGGAATGTATATTGGTTTTACTAGTGGAAAGTAAAGAGGCAGAACATATCATGTCCCTCACTCAATGTAGAGAGCAAGATTACAGCCCTTGAAGGCTCTAGCATGTTGTAAAGGTGCTGAGTACCCATACCGAGAATGAGTTTGGTTATTTCTACCATCAGATCACTCTTACAGACTATGCTGCAGTTTAGGCCAGATAGTGGTGGCTGCTTGATTATTTTTTTTGTCTCTTATTGACTTTTGCATAACTCCTATAAAATGAGTATGCTCACAGACTTTGTACTAAGGTTAGGTTAAACAGACACTGGAGCAGTACACAGCACACCCTTTGCTGTAATGGGAGCATTATCGGGAGCGTGATTTGTCCTCCATGAAAGTTATGGGTTAGTTAGGTATATCTTATAGTGGTTGGTTGTTAGGTAGTTGCCTGTATTATTATTCTATAAAAATTTCATATCCCCCTGTTAGACCTTTTTGGCCTTTTCACTATCAAACAGTCTGTTTTTGATAGTGTATTGCCTGACTATTTCTGTCTCATTGACTCTGCATACCTCTTGTACCTCAAGAATATGAAGTTTTCTGAGATCGCTTTTTTAAAATGAAGTAAATGAGAATAATTTTAGAGTGTCAAAAGAATGCAAATGATTGAGATAAATGAAAAATGGAACTAGGGTTACAGTATATTTTCATAGAGGGTCACGAAATTAAGCAGGTTAGTAGCAGTTCGATTAATGAGAGGGAACAGTGGGGTAATTTGTACAAGATATAAAATGATTGTTTAAAAGATAAAAGGACCTTTCTGCAGGTAAGCAAGAGAGGATACATGAATAGATTAGTAAATATTATTAAAAATGTAATCTACAGATCATGTACAGCTGTTATAGTTGAGTTGTAAGAATCCACTCCTGGGAAGAATGAGAAGTAGAGTTAGACATAGTGCCTCTCACAATGAAGAAATCATTACATGAACCAGACAGTTATATTTTATATGGGAATAAGATTAGTAATTTGTTTAAATAAAATTATTGCATGTATATTGCATTTGTCTAGTTATGTCATGTAGGTGTTATGGGTGTGGATCCTTATAAGACAGTAAGGCTATGAACAAGGAAATGATGACATCAAAATTGACTCTGGTTGAGTGTTTTATTTGTCAACACAAGCGAGTTATATGCAATGTTAGTAGGATTGAAAATGTTAAATGTGTATAAAGATGTTATTTTTTTTTTACATAGGGCAGCTAGATTTTTGAAATATGGGAGTCTCAGTTCTTTGGACACATTATTGGTTCATGTAAAAATTAAATGGCTAACAAGTACTTACATAATGTTAAATTTGTATGGGTCCCTTCATTAGCTTTTGGGATTGGTCTTAATTTAGCTATAGATATATTGTTAAAGAGAGCTAATTGAAAATGTCGAGGATCTGATTATTATAATTAAAACCTTAGCTAAATTATTACAATCAATAGAAGATAATTTCAAAGGAATGAAATATACGAAAAGTGAAACAATGAAACATTACCATCATGTTCTCATGAACACAAAAATTTACACATGGGAAAGATAGGGTAGGTGGAAAGATTCAGTGTATATGAGGTTAAGATTAGGATATAAATATTATTGGGAACTTGGAGCTGAGAGAAGTGAACAGGATAAAGAATGTAGAGTTTGTAGAACATCAGATCCCATACCTGCCACATTATATACTGGGTGCCCATTGTGATAATATACAGAAATGCCATATAAATAATGTCCCTAAGCAAATAGAGGTGGATGTTTGGAAATGGGAAAATAGATGAAATATTAAGAAATAGAAATTTTCATCTAGAATATATAACTATGTATTATAACTAATTATATGAAATATTAAGGATTTATGTGAGTCCTAGAGGACATTCCTGGACTGGGGTGAGGATGACTTATGTCACTTCATCCCTTTGAGAATGTTATTAATGTTTTTGTATCTCAATAAACGTATAAATCAATCAATCTAACACACCCCACCACCACCTCCCCCAACACACCCCAAGACCACCACCTCCCCAACACACCCCCACCACTACACCACCTCCCCCACACACCCACCACCTCCCCCGACACTCGCCACCACACCCACCATCTCCCCCGACACTCACCACCACCACTCACCACCACTTCCCTCAACAGCTCGCCAGCAGCCCACCACCACCACCTCCCCCAACACCCCCACCACCACCACCCCCAAGCACACCCCAGCACCACCACCGCCCCGCCAACTAGCCGCCTGCACCACCACCTCCCCCGACCTCACCACCAACACTAGCCGCCACCACCACCTCCCCACACTCACCACCAACACTACGCCACCACCACCACCTCCCCGACACTCACCACCAGCACTAGCCGCCACCACCTCCCCCAGCCTCATACCAGCACTCGCCACCACCACCACCTCCCCGACACTCACAACACTAGCCGCCACCACCCACCTCCTCCGACACTCACCACCAACACTAGCCGCCACCACCACCTCCCCACACACTCACCACCACCACCTCCCCCAACAATCGCCACAACCTCACCACCCCTCCCCGACACTCCACCACATGCACCACCACCACCTGCCCCGACACTCACCACCAACACTAGCCGCCACCACCACCTCTGCCGACCTCACCACCACCACCCCCAACACTCGCCAGCACTCCACCATCACCACCACCTCCTGACACTCACCACCAACACTAGCCGCCACCACCACCTCCCCGACACTCCACACCAACACTAGCCGCCACACCACCTCCCCCAACCTCGC